GCAGATGAGACGAGGCGAGTCGGGGCGAGACGACATTGGCACGTAGTACATATTCATATGCATTATACTTGTACTATATATTTATTCCATACTTATCTGCATAACTCTGTGCAATGCACCCTTTTGGCTTGTTGTGAAATATTTCTCTGCACACTTAAAGGCATGGCATCAATTATTTATCTAAGATTTATTGCCATTGTTTACAGCCACATTTCAATATGAATTTTAACTCCCCACCCACTATCATCTCTGTCGCAATCTTTCAATTTATGAGCTCACGAAATTGCTTACGCGCTTGACTGACACATCTGACTGATTTGTAATTATGTTACAAAAGTTTTGCACTCGCACTCAGCGCCCCCCTGTCTGCCAGTCTGCCAGTCAGCTAGTCAGCCAGCCTTGCTTACCTCATTCAGATCCCAAAAACATGGCCACAAAAACTTAAACAGGCTCAACTACTTTGCGGTAACTGACAGTGCGTTTAATTAACTCGATTTTCGATTTGTCGGCAAACTTGAGAATGAAAAGTTTCCTTGAGCAATGCACTCGATTTGCAACTATTGTGGCAGCCACAACGGCGTCGCTGAAGAGTCCTCGATGATGATGACAGTGCCTGCCTGATGTTGCAAATCAAATTAGTAAGTAAAATTGAAAATTTATTTATTCATGAGTAAAGCTAAAAATTTTTGAGATAAGAATAATTTAAAATTCAATTAACTGAGAACGCCCACAAAAGCAACGTGGGGGCAACTTACAAACACACACCACACTCAAAGCTTTATAAATAGTGAGTGCCAATGACAATGAAAGTGCCACAGACTAGTACCGGCCCTTACTTCAATAATAACTGCAAATTGAATGAGCATGGGCTGGCCGGGTGCCTGAATGGTTTGCTGACTCTCTGGCTGACTGGTTGGCTGGCTGACTGGCTGGTTGGCTGGCTTGTTGGCCACAAGTTGTCAGTTCTGATACTCGTATTGCATGCACTTGAACAGCGCCCTTTGTGTGCACATCGACACTCACTTGAATATCATGGAATTGAATGAATCCATTTTATCGGAAAAGCTTAATTAATCGATAGTTGCACTGCAATCCTGGACCGACCATTCTAAGATGATTACTCATGTAACAGGAGCTTACTTGAATGGCATGTGTGAAATGTGGGTTACGTGCGAATTGATTTCCTTTCATTCAGCTCCTATTCCAATTACTTACTAGTGCACAGAATTGAAAGCAATTGTATATAAGTGCAGTTTGAACTAAGCTAACAAGATTTGAACTGATTGTGACATTAATTTATAGTTTGCTTAGTAAAAGCACTTAATTAATTGCACCTGAAAATAATGTGTTGATTTAAATATCTTTCATATAATTTCATTATAATTTTTAACAAAGTGAAAAATAATTCTTCTTTTTTGAAAAATTTACGGAAAAATGTGCATAATTTCTGAACAATTGAGTTTTTCATTATATTGCTTATGAATTATCTTATTACTTTACTTTCCATTTATTTGAAGTTATTTGATGTGAATATAATATTTAGTTTTTGAACATGTACATTTCCCTTTGTTGTTAAGTTTTTGTACTTGGATTTTTATTTATTTCTTATACATTTTTAAAGTTAGTTTTAAGTTATTAAGCTTTATGGCTTTTTTGTATAACTTTTCCCGCCTTACTTAATTGATAGTCAATTGTTGTTTAACTTTTTATATTTCTCAATTGATTTAATTAAGTAGAAACGGCTAAGCTGTCTGTACTCTTAACATAAAGATATTTTTACCTCACTTCTAAATTCATAAAGTTTTTAAGAAAAGTGAATAAATTGAATTAAACTTCTCATAGTTTCTAACTTTCTTTGGTTCTTTTGGTTGCACTTCAGCCAACAAATAATCCTGAAATCGTTAAAAAACTTTGCACTCTTATAAATTCGCAAATTAATAATCCTTCACAGGATACATGGCATGTATCTATATTAATTGAAGCATTTAAGCATAGGTTATGCTACTTCAATGCGTAAGCTGCATCTATTCAAGTGAGCAGCAGTGTGTGTGTGTGTGTGTAGTAAAGCGTGTGGGTGTTTGTCTGGGTGTATGAGTTTGCTTTCACTGCATATTTAATTGCATAAAGCTGCTGATGAAAAGCTTTCGACCAAAACCCTGTTAAGTCAAGGCTGCTTTTGTTTATGTGCATTTACTTCTGACGAGTTGCACTGAGCCTCTTCCTTCAGCTATCCTTCTCTCTTTCTCTCCTTGCACTGCTTTCATATCTCTTTCTTGCTCGGCCATGCCATCTGTGGTAGGCCTTCAAATTTGTCAACTAAATGCATGATTGATTAAATGAAACAAAAGCCATACGCAATACATAGCAACACACACACACACACACACACATACGCATACAGGCACCTGCAACCACAGTAGCTGTTGTTATGCATGCGTTTTTATTGTTGTTGTTGTTGTTCTCGTTGTTGTTTGGTTCATTAATAGGCTTTTGTCTTTGCTAAACCACAAAAATTATTGCTGCTTAAATGCACTTGAATGCCTGAATGCCTATGAAATGCCACTGAATGCCACTCATTGTAGCTCATTGTAGCCCATGTGTGTGTATGTGTGTGTGTGTGTGTGTGTGACTATGTAGATGAGCAAAACCACAAAATCCTTTAATATTGCGTTTATGGTGAGCAGGAGCATTGACAGCAGAACAAAACAGAACAACAGCAACAGCAACAGCTATTGACATATAGTATGTTGACAGATTCGTTCCGATAAACTGATAGTTGACAAAATACGTGGCCGAAAAAAAGTGTGGAAATGTATTTCATTTACCCACATATTTGACAAAGCTATAGACATATACAGACAGACAGTCGTGTTAAAATTGAATACAGTTAGAGTTTATTTAACTTAAAACGTTGCAAAAACAAATCATACACACTCGAACACACAGATATTTGTGTGGTAGTGTGCGTGTGTGTGGCATTGTAAGTACGTGTCGTTGCGTCTGTGTGTGTGACACTTGACAATCAGCACTCACAACTGGCACAGACGGCAAGACAGGCGGACAGACAGACAACAGGACTAAAGACTAGCCGAAGAGACAGCGGCGAGGATAACGCATACTCTGCCTGGTTGGCTGGGAAGGAGGGGGAATCACACACTGGCAATCGCAAACGCAATGTGGCTGGCTCAGTGTCTGAAGAATGAAAAGAGGCTGGTTGCCCGAACTGGTTGCCCAACTGGTTGGTTGCCTGGCTTTGGCAACTGAATTGGTTTTGGACGTTCGCAATCGCTCGACTCTGTTGCTGTCAAGCTCTTGTCGCCGCTGCCACCATTTTTGTTATTCTCCCCATCGCCGTTCTCATCGTTCACTAAGTTGGCATTGCTTGTTGCGCCCTGCTGACTGCCGACTGCCGACTGCTGACTGCTGTCTGCGTATTGACAATGCCAGGGAACAGTTAATACAGCACACGTAAATACACTTTCACACATGCACTCGAAGAAAACATAAGTGATTACCAGCAGCTCAAATGATTATAACGAAAATACAGAAAAGCAGCAGAGTGCAAAATAGGAATGATATGTAAAATGCAAAATATTTACATTTCTAAAAACAGCACCTCTTCTCAAAACTTGTTTTCCAACAATCACTTTTCCATTTTGTTTGCAGACTGCTTTAAAATATTTTTTTAATTATAATCTAAAACGCGTAAACTTATTTTGACATCATATGCATACATATATTTTATTTTCAATGAAGTTTTTATTTGATTTATTTTCTTGTTAGCTGTTCGTGAATCAGCGATTCCCAAACATATTATTTAATTATTCTGAAATCTGCCTTAAGCTCAAATTATTTGAATGATATGCCGATAACGATAACAACAGACCAGGCTGGTTAACTTCTTATGGTATTATTTTTAGTTCCTTTTTTTCTTACAAAACTATAAAATTAGATCTAACTGAGAAATTGATAGCTGAGAATAAAAATTACATAATTCAAACAACGCTTAGGTTATACAATCATTAACAACAAACAAATACAAAGTACAAGCATGTACATATGTATATAATTGATTTAATATCAACTTGTTATTCCTTTTTCTTTCAGTGTATAGCCAACACAGCTTTTATTGCATATTGTTGTTGCCTTTGAGCGACGCTTACATGAACTTCGATGCCAATATCCAGAACAGTATGTGTTTTCTTTTACGTGTATTACAAAAAGTTTACACGTATTATAGCTGTTTATTTGTCAACAAGCCCAGGTCACACATACAGAGACGCACACACACACATTCACACACACATTCGCACATAAACAAAAAGTAAAGGGAACCTTAAGAGGAAAGGAACGACAACATTATGTGTACGACGGTCATATATGTACTATATATTAAAAATCATATTAAGTTGGTCGCCACACATGGCGTATGATTAATATTGGCTTGTCATTGCGACGCCCCCAAAAGTATGCAAAGCAAAAGTTTATACTCGTATGTGGTGTAGGGGCTGCGGGTGGCCGTGTGAGTGCAACAAGCATTGGCCATACATCAATATCAAGTTGCATTCACTAGCAGGCACGGCCCCGTACCGGTCCGCTCCGCCCCGCGAGAGCGTTTCATTCTGCACTTTGCCAATAACTGCATGACAGTTTTTGCACATTATTAAAATCACTTTGAGCTGTCACTCAGTCGAAAACGAGCGACGCGACGCGACCCGACCCGACCCGACGCAGGCGTTGACGGCGCCGTCAACAGTGGCTGCGAGTGTGACTCCGACGGTGACAGCAAATGGTGCTTTTATGGGAAATATATTGCGCATACGTCATGTGTGACGCTGGCATATAAAGTGCACAAACTTTTGTCGATTATATGTACGAGTTTATTTAAGTAGAGAGCTGTGAATACACTTATATCCTCGTACACACACACACATATATACTATAAGTCTGCATGTATATATGTATGTATGTACATATATATAGAAATCTGTCGCACTTACCGGTGCACATAGGAAAGCCATTTCGTTGCCAGACCAGCCGAGCAGCAGTGAATTATCATGCGTTGATGATGTCGAGCGCAACTTATTCTTTTCTTTTCTGTTTTTCTATTTTATTTTTTTGCCTCTTTTAAATTCCCAATCCCACTCCCACACACTCTTCTGTGTGCCTCTCAACTTCAAATCCAATTTTCGAGTTTATGCAACTGCCATGCAGTTGGTTGGTTGGTTGGAAATGCAAACGTAGATTTCGATTCGGACGTGGCGGTGGTCGCCTTAGCTGCCTTTTACACTTTTAGCTGCTCGAGCACATAAATTACTCTTTTCTCTCTCGCTCGCTCCTCCTCCTTCTGCTTTCTGTGCCGATTTTGCTGTTGGCTGTTGCATATAATTTAACAGCAAGTGCAGCACACTTTGGTGCGCCTGCTGCACAGCTGCCACAGCCTCTGATTCAGCTGCTGCTGCTGCTGCTGCTTTCGCACTGAGGCAGTGAACAAATGATAAAAGCGTTGACGCACTGCTAGAAAATATGCATTTTTAATGCCATAAATTAGATTTTTGCCGTTTGACGTTCCTGTTGCCACTGCAGTCCTTTTCACTGCGAGATGCTGTAAAGAGAACGAAAGAAAGAAATTCAAAGTAAGTCATGAGTACATGGCAATGGAGAATAAAAACTGCATAGCATTTTGCAAAACTGAGCTGTGTCTAAACGGCTTAACATTTTGCATTTGGCTAAGTGAAATGTGCATTAATCCATAATGCATTCCTTAGCTCTGAGAGTTTTGCACAACTTTTAATGAATTTTCACGCTTCACATTTAGGGGGGAAACAAAAATGTTCATGTGCTCATAAGTTCATCAGCTCAGCTGATCAGCAGCAGGGGCACGAAAATATTTGTATGCTCAGATGAAAAAAGTTTCCAACGTTCTAATAGTTAATTATGCATTCGCAATATGAGATGTTAAAGCAAATTTTATTTCAATTTCAGTTTAACTGTGTCATAAAAACTATGTGGAAACGAACGCAAATATTAAAAAACAACGAATTCATAGCATTTTTTAATTAATTGCGGATAAAGCCAGCGAATTATATAGACTCATACAAAATAAATATTGCATTTTTGTGTAACATTTACTAATTCGTATTTGGTATTCAGAAAACGTTTGATTATTTTATAATGTTGAGCTTTAATACTAAATGCTAACTACAAGTGATAGCAATTAAATAGCCAGAGAAGAAGCTCTGCCACAAGTCAACTTGATGACAGCTAGCCGTATCTCCACACAATGCCCTTCTTTAAATCCAAACTCCAGTCAGGAAGCACATTTGTCATGCTATTATGAGGATCCCCTCCAACATCTGGGCTATCACATCTTTACATTTCGACGCTAAATATATCAACGAAATAGTTCTAAGCTAGATAATATGTACCTCACAGATTGAGCACAAATCAAGCATTAAATTTTAAAACAACGGTCTTATACTATAGTATGCATGCGGACTAGTTTTTTTGATAGAACAAACAAATTGAGTTGCTTGCCAAAAATGTTGCGTCAAATCAAATCATAAAAATTGCATTACAAAGTATTTCGACTTGATAAGAATTGCAAAGCGTCGACAACAACAACAAATTGCCAAGCAGCTCAACCGAGCCGCTACCGCCAAGACCACCCCCGCAGCGGTCCCCCAACCATCACTAGAGCCACCACATCAACAGCAGCCCTGCCAAAGTGGAGTCGAGAGTTTTAGTATTTTAGTGACTGGCAACTGCACAAAATGCGCTTAAAAATTCATGAGTGTGAAAAAAACACAAGCAACCAGAGTGATGCAAGGAAGGACGAGGTGTGAGGAAGGGAAGAGTGAATTGTTTAGTGTGGAAAGGGAAAAGTTGTAGCAACTTTTGACAAGACTCGGCTTCGGCTGGCCAAAAGGCCAAAACAAAAATCATAACACCCAGTACGGGACAGAAAGAACAACAAACGTAGCAGCAGCTATGCACAGCAAGAAATTGTTCGATACATTTTAAATTTTCAAATTGCCAATTTTTATGGACTAGGCCGAAATGTTTGCAATACCATAAGTTCGCAATAAATGGCTCTATGATTGAAAAAAATGAAAAAGCATAAACTCAATTGTAATTAAGCAAATTAAATAAAATGAAGTAAAATAGTTGAATTTAGCTGCCATTGGTATTAGGAAATGAGGAAAACATTTCAAGTCAATCATAAAAATCACAAAAAACCAACTGACTATTCATGAAAATCCACGTTAAATGAGTCAAATATTTATCTATTTACAAACGATAAACTGATCAAAACATTGATAGATATTAATTATTATTTTGATTAAAGTATAGATTGCTTTGCTTGAACACAATTGCCAATTAAGTTAGCTTTACTTTTCTGTGTGCAGCCTCGGTCTCGGTAGGAAATTCGGTTTCAGATTCAGAGTGCGGTCTGCACTAAAGTGCCAAAGTGCAGCGGGAGCTGGAGACCGTGGACTGGTTGGCTGTCTGGCTGGCTGGCTGGCTCGTATGCATATGACTGGCCAGTGTTGTGCATGAATCGGACAGAAACAGAGGCCACAGCCTCAAAGCTAATGAGGGAAGGAGAGGCCAGAGTCAGAGTCAGAATCAGAATCAGAGTCTGGGTCACCACTCCTCATATGCATAGGCAGCGGCATAAATACAAGCCACGTGCATATCAGTGGATGGGAGGTGAGAAGTGGAGTAGAGCAGAACAGAGCAGAGCAGAGCAGAGAAGGATACCAGGCCATTGTTGTTGCGACATCAAAACAAACTGCAGTCGCGCAAGAAAACACTGGGAAGCGAGCCAGTCAGACAAACAGAAGGACTGCGAGACGGACAGACCTGTGCCTTTCATTCATACGAAATTACCTGGGGCATGGAGCTTAATGCCAGTTGGACTGCAAAATCCACTTAGGAAGTTGATACAATCAGTTGTTCTGTTGCTGTTGGGAGCTCAGTGCGCTCAGAGATCTGCGGCTGCTGTGGTGCCGATGGTGGCTCATGGCTTCATGTCTATACGGATGGATTCATTAAAACGAATTGCTCTGAAGCAGCAAATGAACTTGCGTAGCTGTTTGCCTGTTTGTTTGATTGTTTGATTGTTTGCTTGGTCAGAACTTTGGCCTAGACCAAAAGTCGATTCTGGCCACGTTAATACGCATTAAAACTGCAAATTAACTGGCCATGAGCCAATAAGCTTTTGTTGCTCGCCCCAACCTTCCACTATGCACTAAATATACACTTCAATTGGAGATGGGAGTGAGACGTGATTGCATTAATATGAAAATATTGCAACTGAATTAAGCAATCATAATAGTACTTAGTTTGAGTCAGGCTTAGTCAAGAGCTAAAAGAATTAATGCAAATATATAATGAATATATTTAATATTACCTTGTTAGGCATATAAATATTTGTATCGGTCTTAAATGGTAAAGCTTTGATCTTGTCATCGACTTATACTCAAAGAAATTCTCGCCCTTTTTCCTTCGTAACTCCGATAGAGTTCGAAGTATTCTAAGTATATAGTATGTAGAGCAACAAACGGTGGAGCCGAGAGCAATGCTTTATTTGCTTACTTAATATTAAGTTAGGTTATAATGATTTAACAATTGTTCACGTCTTTATCTAATTTTAGCACGAGCACACTCTTAGCACGTATGCCTTCCTCAACAACTCAGACCCGACTCTCCAATATGATGATTTTAGGTACTACCACTCCTACCTATATATCTTCTGCTTTAAATTGCGTGTTCAGACTGGCAAAACTTTTAAATCTTTGCTTTTTTTGCTTTAAAGTACCACACACTTACTAGGCTTACGAAACAAATGTTGATGTCTGATGAGCAAATACATTTACTCAGCGTATAAAAATAGATCTATGTTTCTTTTTGCTAAATCAATATTTAATTTTATTGTGTAAAGCATTCAGAGTTTATAAGTATGTACTTTTTTATGTGATGTATTCCTTGAAGTCTGATCAACTTTATGGCATAATTGGAGCAAATAAACAGAAAATATATGTCGCTGAAAAAAATGTTTTAAAAAATCGTCACCTGCCAAGTCAGTTATTTTCACAATATCTGCACATATCTGACACACGTACGAAAAAATGACTTCTCACATCTCTATTGGCAATTGCAATTTAAGGCCATGGGCCATTTGATTAGCTGAATGCAATTGGGCAAATGAAATGGATTTTGTTGCATGCAACGAATTGTGGCTCGTTTCGTTGGGTTGTGTAGCAGAGAATGCAACTAATTAGTGCACGTCAGTAGGAAAATGTTGCTGCATCATGCTCGCAGGCGCAACCGCAACCGTACGTGCATTCGCACTCCCACTCCCACATATTTTTGCGATCTTAACTGCTGTGTTAATTATTTATATTTTACATTTAATCCGCAGCTTAAGCCAAACTTGCGCACATTTCTAGAGCGCTTTGAGTTGTCGTCGTCGTCGTCGTCGCTGGCGTTTCTCTACTTGTGTGAAGAGCGCCTATAGACACAAAACAACACAAACAACAACCAGAACGAGAATCCACAGCAGCCCACCCACATGTAGAGCCAACACTTCCGCATGAGAAGCAAGAAAAAAGCATAAAGCATGCATATTGTACTTACGCATACATTTGCACGAACAAACAAATAAACAAACAAATCCAGCAAAGGCCTAGGCTAGGCACACAAAACACATAACACAAAATATATAGAAGACTCTATCTGCTCCTTGGCCCTCCTTGCTCCCCGCACCCTCACTCCTCACTGCACACTCACAGGACATAGTAGAGCTCCTGGCCCTAGTGACTCTAAACAACGTCTCTAAAGCAGAGCGCAAAGTAGCGGAGTCGCTCGCTTAAGTTGAAATGCGACTAGCCGGCGATGGGGCGTGGGAGTGGAGTAGAGGGTGCGTATGGTATGTTCAAATATGTGTGCGTGTGTGTCGGTGAGTTAGTGTGTGCTTAGAGTGGCTATAGCTCCAGCTCCAGCTCCAGCTCGAGCTCCATGTCTCTGCTCCGCTTTGGGTTCATGTCCATGTAACATGTTAATGAACTGCGCCAACTGTGTTTGCACAGAACTTAGTGTAATGTAATCCAAAGGCAGTGAGGCAGTCAGGCAGCAGCCGTGCGGCCATTACCACGCAGACACACATCATCACACACACACACAGATCCATACGTGTGCATATGTATGTGGCCCAACGCATACACCTCAACGCCCAATGTGTCGAATATTACGCCAAGGAGTAACTTTGACATTTAGCATTCAAGGCTTATGAGTGGCAAAAACAAGCTGCGTCGAGTCGCGCAGCTCCCGCAACGAGGCTCACACACACACAAATATACATTCATTCTAACTACAAACAACACACATTAGAGGTGGGCTTGGGTCCATTTGGTCGTATTCCATCGTAGTTGTTCTAAAAAACCAACAAGAACACGCGCAAAAACCCACACGAAAATTACACACATTTTGCAATTTTTTCACTGAATTCTAGACACTTTAGGAGTTGCTGACTGGCACGAAGACGCCAAACCAGTGAAGCCAGTATTCATTCTGAATTTTCTGTTTAATTGATTTGATAAA